TCCTTCACATTGCCCATTACCCACCATTCATGGTGACCTCTTGGACTTGATCATAGCTCTCCTATGATCTCCTAGGACCTATGGTATGTTTCCTAGCTGAATTTCTATTTTTTTGGTTTTGAATAACCCCTATGCATTCTGAAGCGATTTTACCTTCTTGACTGCCCTTTTTAACTTCCTTTTTACCAGTTCCATAATGTTAGGAAAAATGTTTTTGCTATGTTAGACTTCTTTGGCAATCTTGCATATATATGAGCAACTGTTTCCAAATGGTTTCTATTAAATCCAGATTGCCTACCCCCTCCGATTTGTGAGGAATCCATTTTGGAGGTGGGAATCTGTTGGATTCCTTGTGCTGAGCTGTGAGTCAGTCTTCATGCAGAGCATCTGTGTGGGCACCTACCAGGAAGCAAGTTCACTTGAAAGCTACACAAGCAGCATCCCTTTTTCATGCTTGTGCAGCAGAAGGAGGTTCCTGTCTGTGCAACCAGAGTCCTAGGAGTATGAATGCTCTACATTGGGCAAATACTATTGAAAATAAAACAGGGACAAAGCTGCGACAGGGATTCTCAGATGCAGGGCTGCTTTGAAGTCCAAATCCTGCTGTCAGGCATTGCTGGTGCCACTGGCAAAATTATTTCCATCTCTCTAGTGCAAGAACATATACTATAAAAGAGCTTTAGAATTCAGGTGTATTGGAGATATCGTCACTTCACTGGGTTTCAGGGGGTGGGAAAATCATGCCATTTATTAATAGGCCTAGAGTACTAGCATATTAAACTCCAAGCTTTCCGATTTTCCCTTTCATAATTTCTCCTATGAGTGCCATGCAGTTTCTTCAGAGTTCATTTCTTCTCTTCAAGCCTTATTTTTCACCTGCTCCTTCTTCAAACACTTCTATCTCAAACCATCATTTACTCTTCTCCTTCCCTTCAGTTTCTTTGCCTCTGAGCTCCCTATCCTCTAGTTTCACTATATCATAGAACTGCTTCCTGGCCTCAGATGTTTGATGCATGGAGTTTTAATCCAAACCAGATTGACAATATCCCCTTTATTGCTTGAGCAATGAAACATTCCAAACCATCACATGAACTGAGCCAGTGCCAGTTGCTTTGCTACCACGAAAGCAATGCAATGTAGATCAATCTCCCCAATCTTCAAAGACCTTCTGCTGGGACATGCTAGGAGTTGTAGTCTAACAACTAATCTAACCTAGAGGGTACTAGGTTGGGGAAGCCCAATACTGATTTCCTAGGTTCTAGGAAAAGAAGAGAAAAGATCTTATCCACCACCTTCATTGCAAAAAATTAGTTCAAGTGTGATATTTTCTGCTTCTTCTAGGACTGATCGGGTGAGACCAGCAGAAGACAATGAACGTTGAAAGTACATGGAGAAAAGATGCGACCTCTTGGTCTCTAAGGAGCTATAACAGATCATTGTGACTTGGGGAGGGGGAGGGGGAGGGGGAATAACTATCAACCATTGATCCAGCTGTAAATTATTCTGGTCTTTAAAATGTGGGGAGTAAGAATAAATTTCTATTTTATTCTAACGTTAGAGTAGAAGAAACAAGTTACACACACTCACCATGTAAGATTGTAATTCATTATCATACTCTTATTTTTTCAAAATAAAATCAAATCATGCATTCTATCAGGTGAAACAATTTGAGTTTATTTTTTAAGCTGTACAACTATTGTTTGCATTAAAATGTTATTTAAAACAAACAAAGTCTTGAACAGGCCTGTAAATGCCACCCTCAAGGAAAGAATGATCTCAACAAATTCCAGGAGGAGAAAAGCAATAGCAGGGATTTCAGTCATGCAGGTGCTGACAGCAGAACTGGGAATGAGTGTAACGATATTCCATGAACATCTATCTGTTTGAAATGTCAGAGGAAGACTGACATTCCATTGATGTATGTCTGCAGGGAGGGGTTATCCCAGTATTGTAGAAGTGGGGAAAACTATTCCTGCTGAACATTTATCTGCTTTGGAGTTCATAAAAGAACAGGCCCCTTTCCCAATGGAATTTACTCAAAGTATGCCACCATTGCCCTCGTTTTGAACTATTGCTCCCATAATCCTCAAAAATCTGGAAGTTATGGATTATAGCAGAGTTTTGGTGCCTTCAACTGCTGTGCAGAGGACCAAATGTGAAAAAAATGACATTTGATCCTGCCATGGGCAGCAGTAGGACAACTTTCATGTTAAAATATTTTGTTCATTAAACAGTATTAATGTTAACAAGATGTGTGAGGAAGTGGTAACTTCAGCTAGGACCAAAAGGGAGAATTCTCAGGTCAAGTGAAAAGAATAGTACACCAAGGAAGAGTAGATGTTAAGGAAGCTTAACCTACCTTATTGGGTTGTTGTCAAGATAAAATGGAAATAAGACTAGATAATCTGCCAGGAGTTTCTTGAAAGTAGAAAAATTCAGGACATGAATGTAGTAAAAACAATAACTGAAGACAAATAGGGCATAATTGTGTGAAACAGAACTGGATTAATAGTAGGATTTTAAGACACATGCCTCCATCATGGATTGTCCACTCAGTGCTAATAGTTCTACCATTGCTGAAAGCCGGAGACACTGTTACATTGGTATTCTTCTCTTGAACTTTTAAAAGCCTGAATAGTTTAGGACCAAGTTACTTAAAGGGCCATCTTCACCTGTACCAGCCTCCGTCACTTTAAGATCAGCAAGAGAGAGCCCTCTCATTTGTCAACCTCTGAGGTCAGTTAGGTGGGCAACTACATGAAAGAAGGCCTTTTCTACAGTAGCCCTACACCACTAAAATGAGTTGCCACTGGGGTCTGCCAGGCCCAAGACTGCAAACTTTTAGCTGAAGTCTGAAAATCTGCTGACTTAGTCTGTCCTTCCCCTGATTTTGTTTGATTATACTGAAGGTTACAGTTGCAGTCTTTGTTTTTATGCTGGTGTGTGTTATTTTTTAGGCTGTTTGTTGTGTTGCTATTTGTATTGTTTTTACTATCAGTTGTTATCATCCAAGTTCCATTGTTCTGTTTTTAGTCCCATAGTCCTGAAAGAGAACCAGGAAATATTTTAAATTAATTCAATGCATTCGATCATAATTATTTTTTTTCTCTTCTGGGTAAAGGCTAGATTTTGTAAAGACCAAAACTTTCTACAGCAACTACTTACTCCTCCTCCCGTAATGGGATGGGGGTACACTATAGGATTCCATAACATTGCACAGAAGTTGGAGAAAAGTTGCAAAGATGTTGGAGAAAAGTATTTCTCTGCTTCTCTTATTTTACTAGAACTTGATAATTAAATTGCTCATCAACAGAACAAATCAGAGGATGTTCTTTACAAAGCACGCATTTTCCAGTTACTATTATGATGTATTCATTGCTAGATGTGGTAACAGTAATTGGTTCAATCACACTTATAAAAAGGACTGGACAAATCACTGGAGAAAAAAAATCTACCAATAGATAAAAGCAATGATACCTAAACAGAACCTCTATGTACAGAAGGAAAAAAATAGGAAAGGCCATTGCTGTGATGCCTTTATACTGTTTCCAACCTGGTGTTCTCCAGCTGTTTTAACTCGAAGTCCCAGCACAGAGCAGGGGCCTGATAGTTCAACCTAACTGCAGGCACCAAGTTGGAAAAGAATGTTTTTAGCTGGCCAGTGCTAAAATTGGGACTGTATCTATTTTGCCCTGACCCAGCACGACTTCCCTCGTATTCTTAGCATAAAGCTTTCCCACGCCTCTTTAACCGCACACTCGTTCTTAAGGCAGATGCTCGACACATACCTTATTGGCCAGCGTGTAGCTGCCGTTCTGCCATGCGATTGGATACATGTTTCGTTCATCAACCAGCGGAACCCATCAAGTCGTTGCGCATAACTGCCTGAGCTCCCTTTCCAAGAGCCTTGGAAAAACCACAGATTTCAAGCAGAGTAACTCCATAATTTGTATACGGAATTTCCGGGTTTAGAAGCCCTTTTTTACTGTTCCCTCGGGATGAAGTGAGAGTTGCCCATAGAAAACAAGGGGGACAAACGAGTGGTTTTTTTTAAGTCTTGCTTGAGGCTGGACATTCGCGTGTTACTCCGAGACTTTATCAGCAGAGAATGGAGTAAATTTTTCTATGTCAGATTTCATTTGGTGTGAACATTTTCCTAAATAATAATTATTATTATTATCATGAAATAGTCTTGCAAATGCATTATTCCATAATTGGGGAAGGGTTGTAAACTGAAAGAACAGTATAGCAGTTCTGAAGTAGAACTATTGTTAATATTGCAAATTGGAACAGCCTAAGGCTTCGGAGAGTGTGGTTTACAGCTCCGCAATTTAATGCTGTGTTACTGCATACTGATTTCTGGTTAGCTGAAGCTGAGTGAGGCATAACATAACCCCAGGCTAATAGTCCAATTTTAATGTAAATTGCACTGGTTTGGATTTCCAGTAAGACGATAAAGCGAAGAAAAAAATAAAGCCCCTATACAAAGCGCCACTTGGAATGTACCAAATTTCCCTCTCAAACCTTTCAGTCCAAATCTACTGCTCAATTTCATGCAAAAAACCTTGTCTGCATTGACTTCCAAATACTTTTGAATGTTTCAAAATCCCGACGGTTTTCTTCACGAGAAAGATCCTTTAGATGTTAGAAATAGCTCTAGCTCCTTCCTTTGATAGTGCGTTCTTCTGTGGGGGAGGGTTCCCCTTGCCAACCATAGCTAAAGTAAAATCTGAAATATGACATTTCTCCATTGTTTTCTAGGAGCAGCTTTTCCTCCTCCCCTCCCCCGTGGGAGAAAATATAAAGCTTGTTGAAAACAGACCCTAAGATGGTATATCACTCATTCCTTGTTTTGTCTCTATGGGCCAAACTGAGACGACAATGCAGCGAGGGAGCCACTCTAGGAGATGTTTGGGCGAGACTTGTTAGTATTTCCGGTTTCCTCTCGAAAGACAGTTGCCGGCTCCCATCGCTATAATAGAGGAAAGGCTCCATAGAGAAAAGAACAGCCACATGCACAAGGAACAGGAAGAAGGTCTGAAGCTCGGCCGCTCTAGGCCTTTGAGAGGGAAGACTTAGTGTTCGAAGAAAGATCCGGGTCACGGCGCTTGCTGCTCTCTTCCCCGCCCACTGTGAGCTGCGAACTAGCAGGATCGGGGCGACGAGGATTCTCGGAGTAGCCCCTCCCTTAGGAGCGGAGCGGCAGGTCAGTCTGAGAGTGAAGAAGGACGGATGTGGGGAAGGGTGGGTGGATCGACTAGCTGAGATGGACGGACGGGGTCGACCTGAAGGGGCTAGCTGGTAGCCGTCCACGATTGATGGAGAAGGTGTAGTCGAGTACCAAGGGGGCTGATTAATATGAGCCCCAGAACCAGGGTGGGCAGTGGGACGCGCGCAGTGATAAGAAAAGCGAACACATACACGCACCATTTTCTTAACAAGACTTCTCTGCTTTCAGCACACAAATGTAACAAGGGACTCTCTTTGTCCTCTGCCTTCCTCCTTGTCCGCGTTTTAAAAAGAAGCAAAATGCTTTACTTGTTGAATTTTTGCCCTTTGACTTTTCGGTTGTTGTTTGTTGTTTGTAAATCTGTGCGACTCTCCTCTAATAGATTGAACGTGATGGTTTCCCCTCATCCGGTCCTACCATCGCTGTGTTTATCTTTGCAATTACCCTTCAAAGCTTGAAAATTTGACCCAAGGCCTTGGATCTAACATTAGATCTACATAAGAATAGACCCACTGAAATTAATAGGACGTGAGTTAGGCTAACATTGGATATAGCTCTCTGGATAAAATCTAAGTTGGATGGAGTTTCCCACCATGAACTCTCCAATACTAATTCAGTGCTAACTGTTACACCACATAGCTTTTCATTTTACAGTGTCATGATTGGAAAGAATCATACTAGACTTGGAAAAGGCCTATAAAGCCACTGAGCCCAATCTTCTGCTCAATTCAAGTACAGCATCCCTGACAGATGGCTAATGAAATGCCTCTTGGATGCCTTCAATATGGGGGAGCCCATAACCTCCCTAAGTAATTGGCTTTGCTGTGATATTGGTCTAACAGTCAGGATTTTTTCCTAAAGTCCAGCCAGAATCTGGCTTTCTGTACCTTGAACCCATTATTTCATGTCCTGAACTGCGGCATGACTGAGAAGAGATCCTGGCCCACCTCTGTGTGGCAGCCTTTCATGTTTATCTTCTCTAGGCTAAACATGTCCAATTCTTTCATTCTCTTTTCATGGGACTTTTTTTTTTCAGATACTGACTCATCTTTGTCATTCTTTGAAACTCCTCCAGCTTTTTTGCATCCTTCTTGAACTGTGGTGCCCAGAACTGGACACAGTACTCAAGATGGGGCCCGACTTGTGCAGAATTAAGAGGAACAATGATTTGGAAGCTATATTTCTGTTAACATAACCCAGAATAGCATTTGCTTTTTTGCAGTCACATCACACTGTTGGCTTATATTGAGCTTGATATCTGAAGTCAAGGTATGATATATCCATAGCATTTCCACAGACCACAAGAAAGGTTGTTGTTGTTGTTGTTAGTCACAAAGTTGTGTCCAACCCATCGCAACCCCATGGACAACATTCCTCCAGGCCTTCCTGTCCACCATCCCCCAGAGTACACTTAAGCTCACACCAACTGCTTCAGTGACTCCATCTAGCCACCTCATCCACTGCCGTCCTCTTCTTCTTTTGCGATCTGTTGTTCCCAACATTAGGCTCTTCTCCAGGGAATCCTTCCTTCTCATTAGGTGGCCAAAGTATTTGAGTTTCATCTTCAGTATCTGGCCTTCTAAAGAGCAGTCAGGGTTGATCTCTAGGACTCACCGGCTTGATCGCCTTGCAGTCCAAGGGACTCTCAGGAGTCTCCTCCATCACCACAATTCAAAGGCCTCAATCCTTTGGCACTCAGCCTTCCTTATGGTCCAGCTTTCACAGCATACATTGCAACTGGGAAAACCATAGCCTTGGCTATACGCACTTTTGTTGGCAGGGTGATGTCTCTGCTTTTTAGTATGCTGTCTAGATTTGCCATAGCTTTCCTCCCCAGGAGCAAGCACCTCTTAATTTCTCGGCTGCAGTCCCCATCTGTGCTGATCTTGGAGCCCAGGGAAATAAAATCTGTCACTACCTCCATTTCTTCCCCTTCTATTTGCCAGGAAGTGAGAGAACCAGATGCCATGATCTTAGTTTTCTTAATGTTGAGTTTCAAGCCAACTTTTGCACTCTCCTCCTTCACCCGCATCAAGAGGCTCTTTAGTTCCTCTTCACTTTCTGCCATTAAAGTGGTATCATCTGCAAGAAAGGTTACCTGATCAAAAAATTGGAACAGAATAGTCTTGCAAGATACGTTGTTGATAGTTACTTCACTATTAGGTGCTTTCAGACTGACTTCTCTACTGTCTGCTCCAGAATTTTATTTATTCTCCCAGTATTTTAATTGTTAATTTGTTTTAGTTGTGGGTTTATATTTTAGCATTGAATGCTGGGCAAGTGTTATTTATTTATTTATTTATTAGTAATTTGCTGTAAATCGTCCCAGGACTTTTAAGTATGGGATGGTATAGAACCCTTTGAGAAGGGCCCTTATTTATGCATTTATTTATTATCTTTATATCCCACTTCTTTTCCTGCAAAGTAATTAATCCAGTTTATATAATCCTCTTCTTTTTCTTCATTTTATCCTTACAACAACCCTGTGAGATAGAGTGACTGCTGTAATCTATCAGCCTAAAGTCACCTAGTGAACGTCATGGCTGAGTGGGGCTAGAACTCCCAAGTTCCAGTCCACCACTGTAATCACTACACTAGTATTTGTGCTGCTAATATCTGAGGAATACGTGGTCAGAGCATCTCAGTGGCTGGACCTTGACTCTGGTACTCTTTGCCAAAGGAAACCAGACTTCCCTTGTTTCTGTTGACTCAAAGATACAGTTTTATTTAGACAGGATTTTGACCTGGAAGCTGATTTAAAATATAACTGGATTTATCTGGGTGTTTACATTCATTTTAGTGATTTTTACCTATCTTGGTTTTCTTTTTGGTTTTTACATTGTGTTAGTGTTGTTTTATAATATGTTTTGGAAAGGTGGGGTGCAAGTTTAACAAACACAGTATGGTTAAAAAAGTATTCTTCCTGAAATTACAGATTCAGTGAAAGCTGACATACTCGAGAGATTGAATTGTTTTGGCCATTTAAGCTATAACCTTATGTCTACTGAACCTAAGTAAGGATATATAGGAGTATGCTGTTAAAAATCTTAGCTTCTTCGTCAATGTGTATGGAAGAGCTTGTTTACATGCTTGATTGAAGTTTGTACAATAACAAACACTGTGGGTGTGGGGGATCTGCCTGCTACTCTAGATCATGCTTGAGAGTGCCGCATCAGATGCTCCAAACCCAGACTGAACTATGGCATGTTCATTTGAGGGTTGTCTTGCACAATCCACTGCTTTACAGCAAGCAGCAACGTTGGCTGGGAAAATACATGTGTGTGCATGAATTCATTTCATATTTGCGAAAAAGACTTCAAAAGGTTCCATTAGACTTGCATCTGGATTCTTGCATAAAGCAAAAAACCAGGGTGAATCTGGAGTATCTTGCTCACAAGGATAAAAAAATTTTGAAAATATGAATGAAATATTCTCAGGATTCTATATTTCCTATATTTTTCTAGTGTATTAAGATTTCATCTGCAACAGGAAAAAGATTGGCTTTAGTGACCTAATTTCTTTGATGATCTTACTGAAATCTGAATTGAGTATATGTGCAAACATACCACTGCTAACATATTGAAAATTTATGTCGTGAATACTATCAGAGTGTTGAGCAGAATTCAGCAAAAGGTAGTTAATATGGTCCGGTGCTCAAGCTCCCATGGCATTGCATTTACTAGGATGCATCATTAAAAATCATTATGATACCCAAAGAGACAATATTTCTGTTATATGTGTGTATGTTACTTGTTTCACTCATTCTTTAGAAGAAATATCGCAGCCCTCTTAAATGTGATAACATATGCAAGAAAGGAAATATCAGTTTGAAATCATACATTCAAAGCATGCCCACTGCACAGTGCTCAGATTTGATCCAAGCAAAATTGCTATAAGGAAATTAATGCTACATTAGCAGGCACATTTTAATTTCCTTTCAAAGCCCATGGTACCTCCCCTAAATTATTTCCTTAAGATAAAGATTTGGTTGAGCTAAAAAGTGCATGTTATAAGCCTTTTCATAAGCCATGTTATCCTTATTAAAATGAAAAAATTAAGCATATTGCACTTTCTTTTTGTTAATCATGGAAATTGTCATTTTGTGCACATCTCTATATTTGAATAAAAATGTTATTAAGCCATTTACGATGTTATTGCCATGAACATCATTTTTCCAATATTTTCATTTTGCTTGAGTAGTGTTCTAGAAATATAGTTGTTGTTGTGTACACAGGATGGATAAAATATTAGTGGGATGATTTGGTAGCTCATGAATTTTGTGGAAATTTCTTGGTCCAAATCATACCTAATATTCACACAAAATTTGAACAGCATCCCCCATTGTTAATATTACAACTCATGAAGAACCTAGAGATCAGGTCTGATATCCAGTGGAACAGTGTTTCCAGCTCTTACAGAAAGTGAACTTGGGGGAGGGGGCAGTCTTCTGAATTGCCCCATGGCCATTAATTTATTGTATACTACAGCTTCCAACTTGTCCCCTGTGGTTTTCAACATCTACATGAAACTGCTGGGCAAAGTCATTAATGGACAGAATTGTTGTCAAGATTCATTTAACACTGAGACCTCTCACATTTCCATAGAGATCCTGTTGCTGAAGCACCTGGATATGTTTTTGGGTTGGATCCAGGTAGACAAACTGTTAATTTAGAAAAGATGGGAAATTGTGGGTAAGGAAATTGACTAATATAGATAAAGGAATGCACATGGCCGTAGTTGGGATTGTACTCCCTGAAGGACCAAATCATAGCTTGGGTGTGTTTATAAACTCAGCAGTAACTTGACAAGCTTAGGTGGCAACCAGAGTACAGTTTAGGTATAGTACACCAGTTACTACCAGCCTAAGGAAAGAACTTGTCCCAAGCTGGACTACTTTCATCTGCTGTATGTAGATGCCTTTGCAGATGACTTGGAACCTTCAGGAGGTGCAAAATTTGACCTCCCTGATACAGTCA